CCGCCCTCTGCTTCTGTCTCACTGCTGCTCCCTCAAAGCCCCCTCATGCTTGATGGGCATGCCTGTCTCTGTGCCAGCCACTAATCCAGAATCTTCTGCGGGAGGGAGGGGACTTTTCGGCTCTCCTGGCATTCGGGCTTTGGGTTTACAGCAAATTCTGAACATAGCAGCTGGGGAGAGCCAGGGGAACTGCTTTCCAGGAACTTTGGGGTTCCCAGGTCCCAAACCGTCCCTGTAGGCATGAGGGTGGATCAGGGCTTGCAGGCGACACAAAGAGGTGTGGGGTGACTTACCCACAATCAAAGAGGAAGGTTCCCTTTCCTCACCATGGAATTAGGAAATGTGAAAATGCAACTCCAGAGCCGGCCCCTTTCACTGAGGGAGGGCTCGAACCCCAGACCAACGAAAGACAGGGCTCCGTGCGTGTTGGCCGGTCAAAAATGCTAACGGTTGGCAAGTTCTGTGAAGATTACCTCCCATCCTGTGTGCATGCATCTGTGCCCAGGACTGGGAGAGTCCAGACTCATGCTGCTGATGTCAACAAGCAGTTGCACTGAGCTGACCCAGGCATGGGGTGAGTCCTGGGCCTTTCAGGCGGTCGGCCTTGCTTTGCATCCTGGCCAGGTCCAGCTGCAGGGCCTCGAATAAGTCTTGAGCTTCCTGGGCTCCGGCTCCCAGCCCTGGGAGTCAGCCTGGAAGTGCCTACTGGGGGAGGGCTCGGAGCAGGGGTTCTGGGGTCTGCCTTAGGCTGCGAGCTGGCATGTGCTTTAGGAATTGGCTGGACGGTCCTTCCCTGTGGTAAGGCCCATGGTTGCAGGAAGGCTCGGGCCGGGCAGGGCTGATACTAGTCCTAATGTGGAAACAAAGCTGTCAAATAGCTGAGAAGAAATGCCAGCACACTGTTCGCAGAAACCCAAGTGGAGAGACTTGGCTTGAAATCAACGAACTTCCTGAGAAAGGCGCTTTCACTTTGCAAAGCTCCTTCCTCCGCGGGCTTGGCTTAATCGTGGGAGCTGCCGCCCTGCAAGTGTGTGATGAGCTTGTTTCCCCAGGCTCCAGGAGGGTGTGTCCGAGGAAATCGTTGGGGCCTACCTGGCATTGGCTTTGCCAAGTTGGATGGAAGGCTTTCACGTTGGCAATTAAAATAGAGCAACTGCTACGATCTGCTTCTGGCACGGTCAGTCAGAACTAAACAGCCCTGAGGGAGCCTCTCTGGCCACATCTGACCAGATTTGCTGCCCGCCCCTGCCCGTCGCCTGGCTGGGTTAGGAGCCCTCTCTGAGTACGGAGGCCCAGTGCTGCTGCCTGATGAGATGGGGGAGCCATCGGGGCACGCTGGTGGGGAGCAGGCTTTGGAAGTGTGGGTGGGGAGGGGGTGCTGGGGCGTGTCTGTGTGTCTCCGCTCACCCCCGGGGGCAGCCATCTATCTGGCACCCAGCTTGCTGCTTGGGAGTAAACCTGCGTGCACACAATAGCCCATCTCTGGCCACACGTTTGGATCCTCGCGCCCAGCCTGGGGAGCGGGGCCAAACATGGGTGAGAGTGTGACTGGGGCAGGGGCAGGGCTAACTGGCATAGCAGCGGTGGAGCGGGGGGGATAGGCTTGCGCTCCGTTAGTTTCCATCAGACGGAGAGTGCTGATTAATCGAGCCACTCACAGGGGCTGGTCTCCGGGCGATGGCAGCCGTGAAGGGCAGGTGCGACACCCCAGCTGAGAATGCAAAGGCTGAGTGAACCATTCTGGGGCTGCAAGGTCATTGTGTGTGGCCAGAGGAGTGGGTGCTGTGTGGGGCTCCCAAATCCAGAAGCAGCAGACATGTGGGTGTGGGAAGCCTGGGGGGTCAGGTTGGCTGGAAAGGGTAGGTGGGTGTGAGTGGGGGTGTGCTGAGCCCCAAAGACCTCTCATCTCTAACCCTCCCTGGTCACCCCTCCAGGGAGCTCTCCTCTCCCTCCTGCCCCGAGGATATCCTCCGGCCACCTCCTGGCATTGGCACTACGTGCTGGAACCTACGTTGGTGAGCGACGTCACCCACCCCTCTGGCCCTGAGGCTCCTTGTATGCACCCTGCTCGGGGCCTTCCACCCGGAGAGAATGTCAGGCATTCTCGGCGGAAGGGATGTCAGATCAGAGGCCCTGGCGTGCTGGAGAGACTTGTTCCAGCATGGGGGTTAGGGCCAGACTGGCTGGACCGTGGGGAAAGAGGACAGGAACCTTCTCATAAGAGCTGGGGTTTTCCTTAGGAAAACCTCATGGCCTGTAACCATTGCACCCTCTACGACGCGGCCTCTCGGCTAGGCTTAGAGCTCTGTTGTGATCTGCACCTTGCCTTCCTTCTGGTAAGTTCCAAGAGAGGGTGAGAGCCTTCTTCTGCTTTGTACAATGAGGGTGCTGGGCTTAATGATTTCTCTAGGTCCTCACAGCTTGGACTGGGGGGCCAGTCCAGAGTTCCAAACAAATCTGCCCCACAGTGGTTTTGGTTGGTGGCTTCCAGAAGCAGGCGTGTCCCCTGGTCTTGCCCGGTCCTCCAACCAGCTCCTTCCTCCACAGTTCGGGAGGTTCCTTTCTGAGGTGGGTCCCTGCTACCACACCAGCACCCTCCTCAGACAGAAGGTGCTCAGCTCTCACTGGGCTCCTGTCACCTGTTCCTCACCCAGCACCATGGGGTGTGGACGGGACAGCGGCCCCCCTTTTTTTGGCCAGGCACTAGTTCTATCCCCCTGGAGTGGCTCGTGACCAGTGGAAGGGGTGGTATGTCTCCAACTGTTCTTACCAGGCACTGCTGGGCTCCCAAAAGTGGGAAGTGGGGTGACAGATGGCTGCAGAAGGAAGGAAGGTGCTAGGAAGAGAGGAGAGAAAGAGGCTACTGCCAGGGAGCAAGCCCAAGGAAGCCAAAAGGAACCAAGAGACAGCAGGCCTCACCACGTTCCCAGAGGGGAGGCCCGGGCTGGCCCTGGAGGGGAGAAGGCCTGAGGGGCGTGAGGAGTGGGGGCTCTGCCAGCTGCCTCTCCCCGTTCAAGTCAACAGACAGATGGACAGACAGACAGGAAGTGCAGCGAGAGATGGCGAAGAAACACGTGGAAAAAGTCAAGGGAGAGGGAGGGACGGGGCAGGGCAGACCCACGCCCCGTCTTGTCCCTTCGTTTCCAGGACGGAAGGTGCTGCTGCCTTAGCCAGGCCCTAGCTGAGGCGCCGCTGGGAGGCCGCGTACCATTTCTGTCCTCAATTGACTGTAGCTGAGCCTCCTGCAGACCTCTCTGGGTGGTGGCAAGACCCTCTGAGACGAGGCCGGGCCTTTCCAGCCGATCTGTGGTGGCTGACGGTCAGGATTTGTGGCCCAGGTGGGGAGGCCCAGTGAGTGTGCAAGGGAGCTGGAGGGGTGTGCGGCCTGTGGTTTGGGGAAGGGGTGTGTGTGTGTGTGTGTGTGCACACATGTACATGCTGTTTCCGAAGGGGACAGGGTGGTCCAGCGGGGACTGGTGCGGCCCACATCCCTTCCTTAAAGGGCAGAGTGGCCTGAAACGACAGTGTAAGCAAGAGGTGGGATGCCCCCCACTGGGGACCTCTCACCAGTTCCTAAAAAAAGAAAAAGAAAAAAAAAGACGAAGAAAAATTAAAAAAAGAGGGTGGGGGAGAAGACAAGACAAAAGAAAAAAGGGAAAGAGAAGAAATCAAGAGAAAAGAAAATCCGAGTCTGGTGAGGGAAAAAGGCATAGTTAACGGCTCCCGTCTGTGGGGAAGTCATGTGTTCACGGAGGTGAGAGTTGCCGGGTTTCACTGGAAGGAAAGGAAAGAGGTAGCAGCGAAGCAACCCAGCAAGGGCTCTGGGCTCATACTTGAAGGTTTACTGTTTGGTCTTTGAAATCTCGAGTTTGTTACAAGAAGCAGGAGGTGCTGGGAGGGAGCAGGGCCCACACCGTTCCCTGCGTTCTCGCTCGTTAGGGAAGCCATGGGGTGGCGGGTTCAGGGCTCTAGTAGCTTTCCTTTTGTTTTTGTAAAAAGATGTGAGCAATCATGGAAGTTTCTACCTCTTTTAGGACAGCCCTTGGGTTCTCTTTAAAATGTGACCAACATGGTGGGAAGTTTTCATTGGAACATATAGAAGGAAATGTACTTCTCCCAGCTTCTCAGAGGAAGGAAGAGAGAGAATGTGGACCGGATCAGGCTAAGACCTTCCAATCCTGAGGCCTGTTCAGAAAAGAGCAAAGGTGCTTTGGGAACAAGTGGAAACGTGGCAGAGTGCAGGCTCCGGGTGTGAGGGGGACTCCAGTTCGAGGCACACCTCGGACCCCTCTAACACCGTGGGCTCAGGGCAAAGGCCTACGGGGCAGGTAGCCCCTGAGCAGAAGCAACTGGCCACCACCGAGCCCACCTGGGGACGTGTGATCGTGGCTTCCCGAAGCCTCCTGCCTCTGGAGACCACCTCCAGGGGAGTTCTGGAAGCTGCCACTTGGTCCCAAGTAGGCGGGCTGGATTATTCTGCTGTGAATGATGCCGGAAAGGCACTTGCCCCCCCGCCCCCCCCCGCCCCTGCCCTGGAAGGCAGCCCTGAGTCTGCATGCCTCCCCTTGGCTGCCCCACAGAACACCGACCAAAGCCCCTCCCTGACACCAGACACCACCAGAAGCAGCCCAAGTTCATGAAGAACCATCGGCAGAGGCAGACAAGTTCAAGAAAAGAAAACCAATGACAGAAGGAGTGCTAAATGAAAACCAAAAAAACCAAACAAAGAAAAGAACAGAAGGTCCAGCAGTGCCATGGATTCAATACATTTCGTAAGAGAATATGGCTCTGGAGAGACACACCGTCTGGGCGGGAAGGACTGGACAGGGCAGTAAGGGAAGAACGGAAAAGCCACGGTGAGCAGAGGATGCAAGACTGGAAAAAAGAGAAGGAAGAGGCGGGGAGGCTTTTTCTCCCCGAGAGATGCCATTTATGAGAGAAAAGGGGACTCAAGACTCACTCCCAGCGGCACTGGTGGGATTGGCAGCAGAGAGAATTACGTGAGTAGGGGTAGAAAGATTGGTTACGTCATGGAGCTGGCTGAGGACCGAAGACCGCCGGCGCACAGCACCCTGAAATGAACCGCTTCTCTTGAAGGTACTCACTACCTCCATCTGTGGGAGAGAAAATGAGATAAAGTTTGGCTTGCACTGTTGTCCCGGCTACCGCACGGGGGTGGGGTTGGGTGAGGACAGGGGCCACGCTGGGGACATATTGTGACAGCAAAGCCTCATCTAGGTGGCCCCGCTCCCCGGGAGCTGACAGTGCTTCTGACGGGGCCGTGGTCGTGGCTGAGGCCAGCCTCTCTGTCACCACCAAGAGAGGGAGGGTTTGCTGAGTGAATGATCAGCACTCAGAAGACCAGGAGGGCGGGGGGGGGGGGGCGGTGAACCATCTGCTCATGGCAAGCCACTTGTCATCTAATACCTGAGGCTGGCAATGCTTTGTTATCCTAGGTCAGTAGTTCTCCACCCCGTTTTCTGCCCCAGTAGACCGGAGGGATAGGACACGCTCCCATGAGGACGAGGCTCCCTGCGGCTGTGCTCGCCGAGGATGTGGGTACGGGGGCCCTTCCCCAGCCTGTCCTTGGTTTACATCGCTCTAAGCAACAGACGTCCACTGCTTCTCACTACGCCGGCCTGCCCTGCCTTGCGCGGAGGTGTAGACATCACTCTCCTTCTGTGGCTCATCCAAGTGATGGAGGGGGCGCCCCTGTGGGCAGCCTCAGTGAAAGAATGGACTTAAAAAGAGAGAGGGGAGATTTTGCAAAAGCACCTGCCTTGTCTTATCAGGCTCCCTTCTACGGAGCCACGGGCACGGCAGGGGGGAGAGCGGAGAGATCGGAGGGTCCTGGGGGCAAAGATGGATTTGCTTTGTCTCCCACCCTTGAAGCTTCCCAGGTGTCAAAAGGGACGTGGGTCTATGGGAAGTGAGACCCATGTGGTGAACTTGCTAGGAGTCCCATTGTCTTCTGACTTCCTGACCCCATCTTTCCCTGGCCTGGACGTCTGGGGGGTGAATCAGACCTGTGGCCGAGTGGCCGCACTGAATGTTTTCCCCCTCGGAGACTGTGTGCCTAGGTTCTAGGAGGCCAGCCCAGCGTGGCACCCTTTTGGCTGCCTCTTTGGGAATGCCTTCCAGGGGTGGGGTGGGGCGGAATCTTTTGGCCTTAGAAGGCGGATCTGATTTCTGGGAAGTGCCATATGGTTCACTGGATGACATGAGCAGCAAAGCAGATATGCCATTCTGGAGCCTGATGCCCACTGGCTACCTACTCTCGGCCCAGAGCGAGGGGCCCCGTGCCACCCCCAAGCCCTGCAGTGTCTGACACGGGGCCAGGCTTCTTGGAAGCAGGCAGCTTGAGTGCCCGGACCCCCTTCACCCCAACCAAAATGAAGATGTGCATCATTTCAACTCCTAGACGCACGGTGGAAAAGACTTTTGCCATGTACTCTGCCGTCGAGCTCCCTTCCACCAACACAAGCCGCTCTTCAGCAAGGGACTGAGACCCACGTGTAAGGCACACTGAGCGGCCACAGGGGGCTGCCCCAACGCACTGAAGGAAGATGACCCATGCCGCATGCCACCCTCTCTCCGGGGGGCCTCTCCTCCCTAGATTGCCAAGAGGTTTCTAAGATCTGTCTCGAGAGGGCACTCATCAGGCAGCAAAGGCAACAAGGGAAGGAAAAGATGCTTTTTCTGCCTCTCATTTGACCTCTCCTCATGGTGTCCCAATGGGATGACGGTATCAGTCAAAATACCTCCAAATTGCCCCCCCACCCCCCAAAAGCCCAGTTGCTGCTGAAGCTTCTCATTGGTTCATAACGGAATGGGGGGTAGACCGCATCATGGCTGCTTCGCAAAGCTCCGCGTTCACAGTTCTAAGGACTCTTTTTTTTTTTAATTCTGGAATGACGCCCCCTAAGTCTTTGGTGTATTGATATGTTAGTGTGGAATGGTGGTGAGAGCAGGCAGCAGGTTACAAAATGCCTTCACTTAGCTACGTGAAAAGCTGTGCTGGGGAGCAGTGTGGGGAGCAACTTTGTTGTTCGCAGAATCCAGAAATCCAGGGCCAGCTGCCTAGGGCAGGTTTCCCTTGGCTTGGGGTATTACATGCAAGCTGGGGGACTTTAGTTCTGCTTTTCAAGCAGGTATTTTGAATCAAAAAGAACAGATGCTCTTAAATTAGCTAAAGTAGCCAACTGGCTCAGCATTCTTGAGGAGCGTGAATCTGATGTGACAATGTGACGGTCCTGTGGAGGGAAGCGTGCCTCTATGGAGAGGACAAGGCATATGCTAGCGGATCAGGGGACGGAGACTCTCAGTGGGTGACCTGGGGCAAGGCCCCTTTTCTCTGGGCCCCATTTCATCATGTACAAAGTAGGGACCTGACTGGCCAGGGTCTATGGGGGTGTGATAATCAGAACGGCCTGGAACTCCAAGACTCTGACTGAGGAGACCCGTTCTACTAGCCAGGCTGCTGGGCAGGCCCAAGAGCCCCCAGGCACACAGAAGACTCGGACACACAGCCCCCAGATGCCTCACACTGGGCAGGGCTGCCGTCTCAGCTGCTAGAAAAGTGACCACCATCTAGGGCTGGCTCTGGGCTCTGCAGCTGAACTGGGGCATGACAGACAAGAGCCCATGGGGCCAGGATGGGGTGCGCAGGGGCTCAGAGTTGGGTGTGAGGCAGTGAGGGGAGACCGGGACCTCTGGCTACAAAGTTATTCCTGCTCCTCCCCTGAGCGCTCAGCGTTCCACTCAGACCTAAGACACTCTTCCCTGGCCATGCTGGCCTAGGTGCTTGGGCCGTGAAGAGGAATGAGCCAGAGACCTGGCCTCCTGCTTCTCCACTGGAGAAGCTCCTTGCATCCCTGGGGAGCTCCTTAAACATGGACTTATTGGGGACCACCTCACCCAGCCCTACAGTATCGCAAGCGCTGGGAGCAGCCCAGGACTCTGCCGCTTTGGAAAGTTGCCTGGCGTACTCTGCTCCTCCCTGATTCCAGCGCCCTGGGCTGAGAACCCGGACAGCTGCCTGGGGCCTACAGGGGCGGGAGGGAGTGGACTCTGAGAAGGCTTCACGAGGTGGTGCTGCGGGAGGAGGAGGTGCCCCCAGGGAACACAGTGGGAGCTGGGGCGTCCTGGGGCCCGGGAAGTGGCCAGCATGGAGGCAGAGCGAATGCATGTCTGGAAAAGCAGCAGGGGTTATAGGGCCACAGTGGGATGACGCTAAGAGGCAGGGGCTTGAAGGCCACGGTCAGGACTCTGGACTTGACCCTAGGACAGGAAGAGAAGCTGGACGGGGTCGTTAGAGGGCCCAGCTCAACAAAGGCTGGAGGAGCAGGCGGGAGGCTGAGAGCTTGTGGTTGAAGCTGAGGCTGGGGCATGGGGAGGAAAGAAGTGGGGGGCCCTGAGCCTGAGCCCCATGAGACTTCCAGGGACTGTGTGGCAGTAGGTGCGTGTGCAGGAGCGTCAGACCCCGGGCAGGGTAGGCACCGGCTGCTGAGGGCGCTTTGGGCGAGTTGTGTAAAAGATTCTTTGGGATGAGCCTTTGGTGCTGTGTGACAGGCTGGAGGCGGATACTGGGGAGAGCTGTGCTCGCTGGTCATGCCCTCAGCAGGCATCTGGGGCCCTCAGCAGGCATCTGGAGGAGGGCGGGGCTAAGTGCATGGTAGTGTTCTTCCCACGGGTGCGACCCCCAGGAGGAAAAGCAACTGGAGCTAGGTCAGGGGCATGGGGGCTGGGGATCCTGGACAGAACATGGAGAAAGACTGGAGGTGGGGCTTTGGGAAGCACAGGAGGGGCGGAGAGTGACAGGTGTCACTGGGGGCTAAGGAGGCAGCAGGGAGACTTGATCCAGGCAGAGACACTGGTGGCTAGGCCAGGAGGATGGGGGGCAGGGGTGGCTGGATTGGGGGCAGAGCTCAGCTGATGGGTCATGCTGCTGTGGGGGGACAGGGAGAGAGTCTGGGGCTCTGGCTTGCTCAGTGGAGGTGACAGAGCCATCGGTCAGGTGCTGTGGGGCTGGAAGGAGGTGGGCTCAGGGACTGTGGTCTGGCCCAAGCCCACTGTGGGCATCTCGGTTCAGGTGTGGCACTCTGGGGATTTCCGGTTGGGCACAGAAGGAGATGGGGAGAGAGGGGGGCACTGGGTCGCCATCTGAAGGCTCCAAGGGAAGGAGCAGGCAGTGGGGAATTGGCCAAGAAGTGTCCATGGGGCTGAAGGAGAGGCTACAGGAGATGCTGAAGGAAGGGGGCGCTGCAGTTGAGAGGGACCTAGGGCTGGGGCTCAGCTCTCACCTGCTCTTCCTTCCTTCCTTCCGTACACAGTCCAGTGCCCCCAGGTCTGTGGGATTTTCAGCATGTGAGGGCCACAGCAGGGTGGACCAAGGTGTCAGTGGGAAGTGGGGGAGCCAGGCAAGCAAGGCTGAGGAGCAGACACTGGGATGGAGGGGACAGCAAGCCACCAGAGAGAGCAGGTGCTTATGCCCTTATGACTGACTGCCCTTATGGAAGGGTGCTGGGAAGAAGGGACAGCACGAGTCCAGGAGCTAGGGGTCTTACAGGCCTTGGTGACAACTGCCTCTGGGACGTTGAAGGCAGAGGCCAGGCTGTGGTGGGATCACAAGTGAGTGTGAGGAAAGGATGTGGAGAGACAGTGAATATGGAACATTCTGGCAAGAAGGCTAACTGGGGAGGGTTGGAGGCAAAGAACAGGGTTTGCTCTGGCAGGCGAGTCTCGTGAAGCCTTGGAAAGTGCCCATGGCCGAGTGGTCATTGTGACCATCTGACCTTATGGGGGTCTTGGTCCCCACCAGTTCTGATACGTGGCCATTGAGATGAGCAGAAAGGCCCAGCTCTGTGGCCCGAGTCTGCTTCCATAGAATACCCAATATAACCCATGAACGGTGAGCTCACCAAAGGCTATTTGTAATGGGCATCTGTCTCATCCCAAGAACGTCACCTCCCTGTGACTGGGCTGTTTCCAGCGAATCAGGCAAGGCCCAGCAGCTACGCAGACAGTGGGCGGTCTGTGCCCCCCAAGAGACAACTACTGGTCACAACACACACCAGCACGGAGGGGGGGGGCTGGGCTCTGAGGGAGGTGGCAGAGATAGGCCACCTGGCAACAGGCGCACCTGGGGATGGCCCGTGTCACCGCGGCAGCGAGACCCAAGGGTTTCCCTGTTGGTAGGGGGCTCACCTCGCCCACTCTCTGCCTCTTGCTTGCTTGCCACCCTCTCAAGGCGGGAAAGCCAGAGTAGCCAAGTGGCCCGGCGGCTTACCTGCGTCTGAATCCGATTGAGGCCCCGGAACCAGAGGATCTGGCCTCTGCGGAGCTCCCGCTCGGCGTGGTCAATCTCTTCCTCCCCCTCGGCCAGCTCCTCGTCAGTCATCTCATCCTTCCCGGGCCCGTGCCCTGCTTCCTTCAGGCACTTGAGCTGGCTGGTGGGGATGGTGGCGATGACCTGGGGGGCCAGAGGTGAGGGACAGCAGAGACAGGTGGCTGTCAGAGCAGGGCTGGTCCTCTCAGGGCGGGAGCTCTGCTGGGGCCGGCAAGGGACCCAGACCACCCCCCTTCCTCTGACACGGGCAGACCCGGGGATGGGACGTCCTTTTCTGCTCCCCGAGGCTGCATGCCTGGGCCACCTCTGCCTGGTGCCAAATCCTGCTCTCCAGAGAGAGATGCCAGCCTCTTTCCCCTGACTGGGAGCAGTCCCTGGGGAGCAGGGTGTGGAGGCCGTTGGGAGCAAGGAGTGTTTTCTAGCGAGGGGAGGTCTGGCCTTGGCCCCCAGCTCCTGAGAGGGGGCCTCTAGGCCCCTGGCCCATCCTGCCTGATGAGAGGGTCTCAGTCTCCCTGGGGCCGAGCTGGGAGCTTCACGTCCCGGGGTGGGGGTGGGGCGGTGCAGGTGCAGAGACTGAGTTTCCGAGCTCAGCCCCGCGGGAGCTCCAGGCCCACGGGACCGACCCCGCACTGAAGTCCCCGGACAGCGCCGCGCAGGGAGGCTTCCCTGGTGGCCGTGCCCGGTGCGGGTTGTCACACAAGGCTGCGGGAGAAACGGCACTGCCGCACCCCTCCGCCGGCCAGGGACCTGGAAGCTCACGCCTGGTCTCCCCCGGGCCTGGTCCTGCGTAGGCTCAGTCTTGGACTTCCAGCTTCCAGAGTGTGAGAGAATAACACCTGCTGTTTAAGCCCCCCAGTCTGTGGTACTTTGTTGTGTCTCAGGTGACTGAGACACAGGGCAAAGTGGATCCTGGACTTGGCCTCCCACAGCAATGTTCTAGAACTGCAGAGCAATGCTTTCAGAAGCCTCTTGTGTGCCTATGGCTTGGGCTGTTTCCTCCTAACATAATCTTTGGGTGCCACAAGCCTCCCTCTGCACGTGGCTTTAACTGCCAAGGCCTCGAAGGGTCCGACTTCCGCTTTCTATCATCTCAAAGTATGTCTTCATTTTCCTTCACGCTTTCTCTGTGCCCCTCGGAGGATTTAGCAGGGTGTTGTTCAGTTTTAGCTATATGGGGATTCTCTAAGCCACCCCGTTTTAGGGGATGATTTTTGGCTCCTATCATGAAAAGGGGAGTGCTGGGTGATTTTGCTGGGGCTTCGTGACATCCCAGCCATGGCCCTTTGTCTTTTCTCTGCTGACACTGTCACCTGAGTGGTGACATGGCCCAGGCCTGAGCCCTGACGCGCCCCGATCCCCCCACCTCATGCCCATCTCTGGTGCTGCTGTAGAGGAGACAGCTAAGGGGTGGGGCCGCGGACGGTGACCAGGCAGCCACTCACCTGTCCCCAGACCAGCTCCCCAACGCCAACGAACAGGCACCAGAGCCACTGCTCCGTGGACAGGGGGGAGCAGCTGAAGGGCTTTCCGCCGAACTGCACGATGATGATCTGCAGGGGTGCGGTGGGAAGGAGGCAGGCACAGCTACTGAGGCCCCTCCTCCAGCCCTCAGGGTCCACATTTCCAGCTTCTGTCAACTTAATGCTTTAACAGCTGCCTGGCGTGTCTGTGCTGGACGCCCCAGCGACATGCCCGACGCGCCTTGCCTGGGCCTCCTGCTGGCTTGTTGCCCCTTCCTAGGGAAGAACCTCCCTCCCTGGGGTGAGCTTTGTCCATACAGGCCAACCACCCCCGTTACCATGCTCTCCTTTCCAGGCCACTGCCCCCGCCTTAACCACCCAGGGCCAGGACCCAGACAACCAGAGACAATCTTATGTCCCCCAGAACCCTGAAATTACTCATACTAGTGAATCCTCAGCCAGCTCACCCCCCCTCAGTTTCTCCCCCAGAAACCACAGTGAGGGCTCCCTGCTCCCCCTCTGTCTCCTGACTGCCCCAGAGGCTTCCCTGGTTGGTCCCCCCGAGGTGTGGCAGGTCCCTCCTTCGAGAACTGGAAGGAGAAACTATCTTGGCCTGTTGCCATCACTATACGTCATATTTTCTATCAATACACCCTAGTTTTGCAGTCAAATGCTCTACCCCTGAGCTATACCCCCAATACACCCTAGTTTTGAATGCTCAGCCTCTCCTGAAGAGTTCACTGACCAGCCTGTCCACAGCATGGTGGCAGGCAGAGGCCGGTTTGTCAGCACTGGGGATAGAAAACTTGTCCAAAGGAACCTTCTGGAGTTTTGGTGGCTTCCCACCAGGGAATCAAGTGCTGGAAATGGGACTCAGAGGGAACTATGAGGAGGTTCGTTCTCAGTAAGGCACACTAAGGCTCTCTGGAACCCAGCAGGTGAAGCCAGGGCAACGCCATGATGTTTTGAAGATGGGGACAGAGGACACAGGTTACAGGGAATGCCAGCAGGGGCTGGGAAAGCAGGAGGGGCAGAGCCGCCTCTGAGCGGGACAGGCAGGCCACTAGTGGGGGCGGGGCACGGTCCCCTGCCTCCCCAACTGTTGTAAGAGTGGGGTCAGCGCTCCTACCTGAATTGCAAAGGTGCCCAGGACGATGGTGCAGAAGATGGGGTTGCTGAAGATGCCATGGAAGACGTTTCGCTCACCGTGGATCTTGCGGGCATTGATCTCATTGAAGAGCTGCATCATGACGAAGGTGTTGAAGATGATGGTGTAGTGCTCTGAGGGTGGAGAATGCAGGGGTGCGTTCCTCCCGCTGTCAATGTCGAAGAAGAGCTCCCCTGCAGGCCAAGGGGCACATGAGGGAGTGGAACCCTGAGCGGACATGGCTCCCGGCCAATGTCGCCTGAGGGGTGCTGGGGGGGGTGTCTGTGGTGAGACGGCCGAGGGAAAGGAGCTCATAGCCAAGGCCTGGCCCACGGCTCTGGTGCAGAAACCCCAGGGCAGGAAGGAAGAAGCCAAGACAAACTGTGTGTGCCAGGGTGAGCTGGGGGTGGGCTGGGGAGGGATTGGAGGCTGCTGGCTGCCCTCCTCGGCCCTGTCCCTAAGCCAGGGCAGCCAGGCAGAGGCCCTCAGGCCGGGCACGAGAAGCTTCTGCTCCCAAGATATCAGAGAAGGGCCCGCTGAGGAACCCTCTCCCCACCCCGGATCCTGACATTTGTGGTCCCCCCCACACTGACTCCTGTCTCTCAGCAAACACTGTCCTGGAGGATGGCATCGGTGGCCTGCCGAGAGTGCCCTGACCTAAGGGAGAGGGGCCACAAACACCAACAAACCCAGCCCCGGTCCCTCCCCCCCCCACTCCTCCTGCAACTGCCTTCTCTTCCTGCCCAGGCCTCCTTCTTGCTTCCTGACCCTCAGTCCTCCTCCCCGCTCCTCCTCTCTCCATCTTCCCCTCCCTTCCTCTATCCCCCTTCTTCTTCCTCCTCCTCCTCCTCTTCCCCTTCCCTCCTCCCCCTTCAGCTCTCCCTCCTCCTCCCTTTCTTTCCTCCTTCTCTCCCCCTTCTCCCTTCTTTCCTCCGGCCTCTCCTTCCTCTCCTCTGCTTTACCTCCTACTGCCTCGCTTTCTCCTACCCCTCGTCTTCCCTCCTTCTCCCCCCACTTCTCTCCTGATCATGGTTGTTGTCCCCTGGAGAAATGGTCATGGGGTGCATGGACGGATGGGTGCGATCTGGGTCTGGGAGCATGGACAGTTTCTCAGCTGCTTGGGGGGGGCACACACAGAGAGGGACAGCAGGGAGGGGAGGGCAGAGGGGTCCTCACGGGGAACTGGGTTCCTAGTGCTCATCCGTCCCTTCCACCGCCGGACAGGGTCTGAGCCTGCGAGGCCGGCAGCCGTGCAGTGTGCCCCAGGGCGGACCTACCGACGAACAGCAGTGTGAAGATGATGGTGAGCTGGTACACCGCGTGGCCCAGGATGTTCTTCATCATGGTGCGCGAGATCAGGGGCTTGTCCCGGCCGTACGGTTTCCGCAGCAGCAGCGCCTCGGTGGGTGGCTCTGTCGCCAGGGCCAGAGAGGCAAATGTGTCCATGATCAAGTTCACCCACAACATCTGCACGGCTTTGAGAGGAGAGTCCTGTGGAGAGGAGGCAGTCATCCTCACACGGGGCCAGGAATCCCCGGCGGAAACTCAGCTTGGGGGCGGTGTCACTGGCAGGACATGCAGCGAACCCGCCCTTCCCAGAAAACTGTGACATCCCCCATCCCTGTTGTTAAGGTTACCAGCGAGCTTTCGCGGCACTTTCAGATTCCTGCTCTTAAAGTGTTGCCAGTCTCCCTTCTCTCACCTGGTGGCAGTGATCTAGAAGGTGTGGTCCCAATTGTCAGCAGGAGGTTCACAAGCCCGCGTGTTGCCCCAGACTGCGATGGGTGCTCTCCTGACCTCCCACACCCAGGGGGTCTGCCCTGCACCTTCCTTCTCCTCATCGCCTCTGAGTCGGTTAGAAATCAGCCTCACAAAAGGCAGACACAAAGGGCCACATACTGTATGATTCCGTTCCTATGAAACTTCCAGAACTGACAGATCCAGAACTGACAGAGAGCAGGTGAGTGGGTGTCAGGAGCTGGGGGAAGGCAAGGGGGCACAACATTGTGAATGTACTGAGTGTCACTGAGCTATGCGCTTTCAAATGGCTATTGTGATGTGAATTTTATCTCCATTAAAAAAACCGTTCAAAGGGAGACAAATCCTGGACACTCACTAAGGGGGAGAGTTGGACTATTGAAAACGGGGATGAGGCTCCTCGAAAGGAGCAGCACTTCCCCGCACAAAGACTTGTACACGCATGTTCACAGCAGTGTTATTCAGTCACCAAAAGGTGGAAATGACCCAAATGCCCATCGATGGAGGAAGGGACAAATGAAAGGGGCTCTCTCCATACAATGGCGCATTATTCTGCCACCCAGAGGAACGAAGTCCCGATCCATGCTGTAACATGGATGGACCTTGGAAACACGATGCTGAGTGAAAGGTGCCAGGCACAAAAGACCACATGTTATTTGATTCCATCTGTATGGAATGTTCCAGAATGGGTAAGTTTGTAAAGACAGAAAGCAGATCCGTGGGTGCCAGGGACTGGGGAAGGGGGACGGGGAGTGGCTGCTACTGGGGATGGGGCCTTCTTAGGGGCGATGAAAATGTTCAGAAACGAATGTATGAAATGCCACTGAAGTGTGTCTACTCTCAAATGGCGAAGGTTTTGGTATGTGATTTTTATTTCAATTAAAAATAAAACAAAACATGCAACAAAGTAAAGACCTGGCTCTCACAGCCGAGCCCTCGGGCGGGCGCTCATCGGCCCACACAGTCATGGGAGTGGGGTCTCCTGGGCTTGCTCTCCACACCGGGCTCCGAGTGCATGAGGCAGGAGGGGCCCCGGAAACCGGCTGCCTCCTGCAGGCCCCATGGCTTGCGGGAGGGAGAGCCCGGGGTCTTCCTCGGGCACAGCGGTCCCCAGTGCCCACCTGAGTAATGCAGGCACCCGTGAAGGCCACGATCACGGCCACCACGTTGACGGTCAGCTGGAACTGCAGGAACTTGGAGATGCTATCGTAGACATTGCGGCCCCACATGACCGCCTTGACGATGCTGGTGAAGTTGTCATCGGTCAGGATGATGTCTGAGGCCTCCTTGGCCACGTCAGTCCCTGCGATGCCCTGGGGGGGGGCACACACACAGTGTCCACGGGCCCGTTCCCCAGCCCCCTTGAAGACTCAACCCACTGGGGCTTACCGCCCAGGTTGCCTTCCAAACAGAGGCTCCCCACCAGCTAGAAACAGACCTTGTTTCATCCGGCGTGACCTCCTACTCCAGGTGGCAGGTTGTCTCAGGGCAAGCTAAGGGTCTTTGCTCATAGACAAAGAGGGGGCCACCACCATGGCCACCAATGTGGCCTCATGTACAAGGCCCGGCTGCCACCACGTGGCCACCACCAGGCTTCTGTCCAGTGCCAGCACGCTAGAGTCCGGGGTGGGGGGGGATGCCTTCGGCAGAGCAAGCACACGTCTTCCGGGCCCACACACGGGTGCCTGGAGGAGGCCCTCCTCCATCCTCGGTGCTCAAAGCCCCTGCTGCAGGGACAGCCACAGCCGCGCAAAGCTGCACACCCCGTCTGCTGCCCTGAGGCTGGGTCCCATGCAGCTCTGCCCGGTGCTTCCAGTGCTTACCCCTTCGGGGTCCCAGCTTCTGGGCAGGACTGGCCTGGGCCCCTGGCGCCTGCCCGTGGTGGGCTACCGTCACTGCGGCAGCGCGCGGGTGCTCCTTAGTGGAAGGTGGGGAAAGGGGCTCACTGGGTTTCTGCGTAGCTCACTCTAGAAGGCTGCAGGGTCAGGGTTTACAGAAAGAACTCGCTCCATATAAGCAACAGGAGAGAAACACAGAGGACAAGCTCACTGGGGGGCTCCAGTCATCACACTTGGGGCTGTGGTTCGCTGAGACTGGACCGGGACTGGCTGAGGCAGGTGCACAACAAGGCCCACTGTCACCAAATGCCTTTGAACAAATCACACGTATGTCCCCTGGCCAGCAGGGCCTGTGGAGGCCCGAGAGGCCAGGACGTGAGAGAAAGAGGCCTCAACACTAGCTCCCACCTTTCTGCACGGAGCTGATGTCCTTGAGACGCGAGGTCCTACATGGTGTGCCGAGCCAGGTCGGCCCCGGGTGGCTTACCATGGCAAAGCCCACATCTGCCTTCTTGAGGGCTGGCCCGTCGTTGGTGCCGTCCCCGGTCACGGCCACCACCTGCCGCTGCTCGCCAGTGCTGCTGTCGATGATCCCTGGAATGCAGAGTGGGGCGCCTGTGCCCTGGGCTCCTGCCTGGGGGCTGTGGGTGACTGCTTGACTCAGGAAACCCTTCGGGATTGCGACTGCGCCCACTGCCCCCAACCCCCTTGTGCTTCGGTCACCTTTGCAGCGAAGTCCCCGCTCCCCTCCTCCTGCCCTGGCCCATCACCCAGCGAGATGACACAGGGTGGTGGGTGATTGGGTGGAAGGCAGGGGCTCAGCACTGTGTGACTCGGAGGCCTCAGTTTCCCCGTCTGTTACAACGAGAGGCGTCTCCCACTCGGGTCGTTAGCCCGGAGATGCGGAGGAGTGGGCCCTGGCATGTCGGCCATCATCGCCCGCATTTTCCTGAAGTTCCCGTTCAGGACCATGTCCACCCGCAGCACATCTACAGCCCGGGACCCCACTTCCTAGGCAGGCCCTGGAGCTTGGCATCGGGAGTCTGGGGGCAGCCCACACCCAGCCAGTGGCATGGCACCCCGGGCAGCGGCGAGCAGCAGTGGGCGAGCTCCATTACCTTTGACCAGAGTATGTTTGTCGGTGGGAGACGATCGGGCGAGGACCCTCAGCTTGGGCCACACCTTGTCCAGACGCTCCTGTTCTATCTGGGAGGGGGAAGCACACAGATGCTGCAGAGCCTGGATGGGGGCTGCTGAGCAGAGGTGGGGTGGGGGGAGAAACCGCCAGAACCCCGGACTGAGGTGGGAGGGCAGCGGAGCCCAGGCCTACCTCGCCTTTCTCATTGCGGATGCGCCGGTTGAACTCCTTCCCCTCCAGGCACAAGAAGTCCTCCCCGGGCTGGATGATGCCACACTTGGCCGCGATGGCCCTGGCTGTGTTGATGTTGTCCCCGGTCACCATGCGCACTGTGATGCCAGCACGCTGGCATTTGCGGATAGCTTCAGGGACCTGGAAGAGACGAGAGAGACGGGTGCGGCCACTGAGGCAAGGCGCATTTCCTGCATCCAGATCTGCAGCACCCTCCCCCCACTGTGATCCCTGGGGGGGAAAGTGGCTGGTCTGCTTTACTGCCTGGTCTGCAGTGGGCAGGCTGCCTCCTTCATCCCCTCAGCACCCCTCCCCACCCCTGGGTGCCTCCTTCCTTGTGCTGGGCCCCAGGACCAGCGAGGACTCAGCCCCAGGCCCCAACGCCACGAGTAAGGCTGGGAGAAGGCACTGGTCACTTGGGCGCCACTGCAGTCGTGTCTGGAAAGGTGACCATAGAAATCACCCAGCTCCATCAACCTCATTTTCCACTGCGAGACGGAGCTCCAGAGCTGCTGAGCCAGGGGCGGCCCTGCTTACCAGGCTGTGTCAGTGAGGTCTGGAAAAATGAGAAAGGAACCTGTGTCCCCAGCTACCCTGCCAGATGGCAAAGCTGACGGCAGGCTTGTCCCTTTGGGGCAGGCTCCTGGCCATCAGCGGGCTTGTGGCCAAGCTCTGGGCACCTCTCACGTGTCCCCCCGTGCCCCGCTCCTGTTTACAACCATCTAAAACCCAAGACACGTAGAGCCGTAGGTTTCACATGAGAAGGCACTCTGCCTACTCATTGGGGGAAATGGAACAAGTGGGCCAGTAGCTGAGGTGGAAGCGGGGGCAGGCGCAGGGTCCTGGGAGTACAGGGACGCTGCCCTCCTGGGTCCGTGAGACCTTCTCAGAGCAGCATCGAACGCCAGCCAGCTTTATGACTCGGCTTCACTGGGTGGACACAGGCCTCCTCCTCTGTGCCTCAGTTTCTTCCTGGTCCGACGAAGGGAACGGTCCAGACCCTGTGTCCACTGGGGTGGCCCCGTCACCCATAGTAGCATCCTCTCCCCTTGCCCTCCTAGGCTGCTTCTCCCGCTGTCCACCTTAGCTAGACCTGTCCCTCTGGCTGGGAGTCTCTCCCTTCCCCTCTGCTGCCACCTGCGTCCTCCCAGGCAGGCTTCCAGGCTCCTCAGAACATAGGGGTGCACTGTCACGGACGGCCCACGGCCACTGTCTGGATGTAGCAAGCACTGACTTTTCAATCGACGGTCTTTGGTGCCTGATCCAGTGTGTGAATGAAGACCCGTCTCCTGAAGGAGGGCCCAGAAGCGTCTCCTTCCTCATGTCAGCAACCCTAAGGGCAGCTCACACACATACATGTCTCCAGGCTAATCAGCAGGATCAGGGCGGCCCTGCTTCTGACACGAGGTGGGTGCCACTGGAGAGGCCCTGGGAGGAGACAGAGGATCCCTCCCTGCCTCTGGCAAGCTGCGGCCCCTGCGCCTCGCATTCTTCCTGTGGGGCCTGGCATCCTGTAGCTGTCACTGGCGCTCCGCTCCAGGGCTCTTCCATCTTTATGGACCAACAAGCCTCCCCTTTGCTCCTTCGCTCTGCAGTCTGTTCAGCTTCTGCCCAGTTTCTCTGTTACCTCTGCAGAAAAGCTCTTGGTAAAGCCATCTACACATGCTAGCTCCCTGCCTGGACCCTTCCTTCAAGTCTCTTTGAAGGCTCCTCCCACATCTGTCCTAGCTGGACACTCACCCTGTGACATCACTCATATAAGGATGCTTCTGGAATCTCTCCTGCCAGGACCTTCCGCTTTGAGCACTCCACTCCTACAGCTACCTACCCACTTGACATCTCTATGGGGAGGTCCCGAACCTCACTCAGCCCCAACCAAACCCTTGACAGAGGACTGCCCCCCGCCCCCCAAACCTGGGTCCCCTCGGACTCCCAGCCCGGTGATGGAACTGCCATCCACCCGCATCTCCGAACCAGAGCCCTGGGGGCGGTGCCTGACTCTTCCCTCTCCCTTGCCCCTCCCTCCAGTCCATCAGTCCTGCGGGGGTCACAGCCGTCGAGGTTCTACTGACGCCGTCTCTCACCTGGTGGAGGCAGAGCATGAGCCAGGCCTGGAGGCCCCACGCGGGTGCAAGGGCGGGAGGGCAAGGGGGATCAAGTGTGCCGGGGAGGTCAGATCCGAAGGACCCCAAGGCCCTGCCCTTGCCCACCTTTCCTGACCTTTCTGGACTCCGGCAGGAAGTAGTGTGGTAGCAGGGAAGGCAGGAGAAAGGGGCCATGCTGTGGAGGCCGGATGGGAAGCAGGGCTGCCCCTTGACCCAGCCAACAACCTGGGCTGCTCACGGACAAGTGGGTGGCTACCTCGGGCCGCACGGGGTCCTCGATGCCCACGACAGCTATGCAGGTGAGGTCGCCCACGACCTCGTTCTCATTGTCCCAGTCGGGCTCCTGAGCGGCAGAGAAATCCCGGTAGGCAATACATATGGTGCGGAGGCCGTCGCACGCCATGGGCTCGATGATCTTCTTCACCATGTCGTCCCGGTCCCGAGGCCGAAAGCCACGCAGCTCGCCGAAGCTGTTTATGATGTTGCTGCACCTGGGGCGGGGACAGAGAGAACCAGCAGGCATGGGGTGAGCCCTCCATCCTGTGTGGCGGAGGGGCTTCTCGGGGAGGAAGGCGTTCTGCTTCTGCGGGGCCCAAACAGTGTCTGCGCCCCGCCCCCACCCCCCCGCCGCTTCACGTTCTTCCCAGAACCTCAGATTGTGACTTGATTTGGAAATAGGGTTGTTGCAAAGTTAAGATGGGGTCATACCGGTTTACAGTGGGCCCTTAATCCAATGACTGGTGTCCTTCTAAAAAGAGAAGAGGACACATCGAGACATAGACACACACGAGGACAGGGCAATGTGAGGATGCCAGCAGAGATGGGGGTGACCCATCTACAAGCCAAGGGACTCAAACGACTGCTGGCAATCAATCACCAGAAGCTGCAAGAGACAAGGAAGGAGCCTCCTCTGGCGGCTCCGAAGGGAGCATGGACCTGCCCACACCTTCACTGTGGACTTCTGGACTCCAGAACTGTGAGAAAACAGGTTTCTCAGTTTTTAAGCCATCAGGTTTATGGTCCTTTGTCCTGGCAGCCCCAGGAGCCGGAAACTCACAGACTTGTGTAGGCGAGGAGAGCGCCTTTTTGTGGATTCACTCATGTAAGTCTCACAACATTCCTAGGAGGTAAGTGTTTGTGTTGTCTCCATGTAGGAGGAAACTGAGGCTCCGGCAGGGGAGTAACTTGACGTTCACATGCCAGCAAAGAGCAGAGCCACAGGCCTACTACAGAACTCGGGCTTTTAGCCAGAGGAGAAGGGAAGCTCGAAAAGAGGGCTGAGGCCCCCCAATCCAGCCAGGATGTGGCAGGACAGCTTCAGGGAAGAGGTGGCCTTTGCACCCGGGGAGTCTGTGCCCGGGCAGAGTTTGGGGGGAGAACATTCGTGTCTTAGAAGGTGGCTCTGCAGGAAGTGAGGAGCCAGGTGGGCAAGGCAGGAGGATGGGGACTTGGGGGATGGGTGCTTGGAGGTGGAGCTGCATGCTCCCCCCATCAGTTTTTATAACAGCTTTATTGGGATATAATTCACACACCACACAATTTGTCCAATTAAAATGTACAGAGGTGTGCAACTGTCACCACAGTCAATTTTAAAACATTTTCATCACCTCTAACAGGAACCCCACACAAGCAACACAAGAAATAAAGGGATAAACTGGACTTCATCATTGGAAGACACTTGTGCATCCAGGGATGAATCAAGAGGGTGAAAAGAAAAAAAAAAACAACAAAAACAATCAACAGAGTGAAAAGACAGCCCACAGGGAGGGAGAAGATATTTACAAATCAGGTGCGTTAAGGTTCTAGTATCTGGCATACAGCGAGAGTTCTTACAGCTCAGCAACAAAAAACCCCCAAACCAACAAAACAACTCAAATCAAAGATGAGCAAAGGACTTGAATAGCCTTTTCTCCAAAGAAGACACACAAATGGCCAGTGAGGACATGGAAAGGTGCAAACATCACTAGTCGTCAGGGAAGTGCAAACACAACCACTGTGAGATCCCAGTTTGCATCTCCTGGGATGGCTATAACCATCATCATCATCGTCATCGTAATAATAAACAGATTAACGCATGCTGGTGAGAATGAGGAGAAGCAGGAGCCCTCGTGCCTTGAAAACGTGAGACTACGCTCCCATAGGACCCAGCACTTCTGCTCCTAGGAATATGCCCAAGAGTACTGAGAACATGTATTCAAACAAAAACGTGCACACCCATGTTCATGGCAGCATGATTCACAGGAGCCAAAAGGTGGGAACAAGCCAAGGGACTGTCAAAGGATGAACAGATACAGAAAGCGTGGTCTGTTCACACAGTGGAATATTATTCTGCCACAAGAAGGAATGAAGCACCAATCTGCGCTACGACGTGGATGAGCCTGGACAACGTTATGCTCAGTAAAAGCCATCCGTTGTATGATTCCATGACAGGCACATCCACGGAGAAAGGAGATGAGTAGCTGTCAGGGGCTGGGGAAGGGAGGTGGGAGTGGCTGTTTAATGGGGACAGGGTTTCCTTTGCGGGGTGATGAGAACGTTCTGCAAGCGCGGCACGGTACGTTTTCGAGGGATTAACGTGGCCAATTTGACGTTACGTCTACTTTACTGCTGGCCCTTGTGGCCCGCTCACTTTTTCAGCAGGATCTCCGAGGCGCCCTTGCTGAAGAGGCGGAAGCCGCCGTCAGGCATGCGGATGACCGTGCTCATGGACTTGCGGACCGAGTTGAAGGTGTAGACTTTGTAAAGCTTATCTTCTGGAATCTGCTCCCGCACAGGCTGGAAGTCCCGCTTCAGGTCCAGGACAAAGCCTAGCAGAGCACACTCGGTCTTGTTGCCCACTTGGCGGGGGAGACCGCCTTCCTTCTCTGGAGGCTATGAGGCAAGGAGAAGCAGCATGGCACAGGGGGCCCGAGTCTACCCTCCTTGCTGCGCCCGCCGCACCCCCCCCCCCCCCGCCTGGCTGCGGCCACCTTGTCTCTAGGGTGTGGTGGCTGGGAGCCGGGGACGGCCTCCACGGGGACTAGATGGGCAGGCTTGCCACCATGCACTGGGCTTGGAAGGGTTTCCAGAAGCTGCAGGTCCTGCCCAGCAGCCAGGACAGGAGTCCAGAGATGAGGTCGAGGCCGACCAGCATCCCAGAGACCCCTGCAGCTCTGACCAAAGGTTCTTAAGGGAGCCGAGAGAGGCCCTGGTGACAGCTCGGCGGCAATCTCCGGCCTGGCCCCCTTCCTCCATGCCGCCCCAGCTTGGCCCAGCCTGCGGCCCGCTCTCTGCTCACTAGTATTTTGGTGGTGTAGGCACTGTTGATGGAGATGGCGTGGACCAGGAGGTCGAGGATCTTGGGGGTCAGGGTGCTGGGGGCTGGAACCTCTTTGTAGTGGGTGTCCCCGAGGTAGGACTGGACCACGGTCATACGGTTGGTGGTGAGTGTGCCCGTCTTGTCCGAGCAGATGGCGGTGGCGTTTCCCATGGTCTCACAGGCATCCAGGTGACGGACCAGGTTGTTGTCCCTCATCATTTTCTGTGAAGGGCAGGGATGGGGGCTTGGGTCACCAGCTGTCCTCGGAAAGCTTGGCCCACGGGGTAGGGGAGCAAGAGGTCGTCAGCATGTCACGTGCGACTCTGCTCGGCCTTGCCAGAGGCGCCGCTGGGAGGGGCTGCAGGGTGGGAGCACTCTCATCAGGCGCGCCAAGCGGTCGACTCTGGGCAGCCGCTCTCCCCGGAGCTCACCTGGGGCCTCCCGTGGCCCCCTCTCAGATCAGCCCCAGTGTCAGCCACCTGCCACCCACTGTCTCCCAGTGTCCTCAGCCCTCTCCTGATCACCCATTTGCCCCCTGCACCCACTTCTGCAAGTGACGCCAGCACCCTCAACCGACCGCCCTCATCCTGCAGATGCGGGGTCTATCCCACCGCCTGCCTGCTTTCCAGCTCATCTCACTGCTCCCCTGCTCAGCAGCCCCTCCCCCCCGCCACTTCCGTGACTGCTCCCAGATTTTCTCCGGCGCTTGTCACGCCAAGTTGCTTAATGGCTTCGAAGTCCAGTTTCCGGGTCTGTATCCTGCTATCAAGGGATTCTCCTTCGTATCGCGTGTATTATTATTACCTTGACAGAGTAAGCTAAGGAGATGGTGACAGCCAGAGGCAGGCCCTCCGGGACGGCCACAACCAGCACAGTGACGCCGATGATGAAAAACTTCACAAAGTACTGCACATAGACGGGCGTGCACTCCGCCAGCCACACCCGGCCGTCGACGACGAAGGTCTCAATCACAAAGTAGAGGACCAGGATGATGACAGTGATGGCAGACATGACCAGGCCTGCCGGGGCCACAGGAGCCACAGACGGTGGGGGCGGGATGGGGAGTGAGCGGGGTGCGGGAGGGAGAGAGCAAGAGCGAGGCAGACGTAAGGGAGGCTGAGGCAGGGGCGCCACTCCCCTGGCCCAGCCTGGGGGACATTTGGAACCTGTGCTCCCTGACTGGGGACTGCACCAGACCCTGATGGCCGCTGCCGGCCCCGGGGGCGGGGGGGGGGGGCCCTGGCTGCCTGGCCCACACGGCCTGTAACAGCCCTTTCCCACTCCCGCTTGCTTTCCAGAGCCCGGCCCGGCGCCCGGGAGCCCAGCGTCTGCGCCCAGTGGTGGCCCCACCTGCCTTCCCAATCTGCACGGCCAGTTTGGTGAGCTTGCCCTGCAGGACCGACTTCTCCTTCTTGGGCACGCTGGCTTTCTTCTTCTCCCGTTCCTCCATCTCCCCGCCCTCCGCGCTCTTCAGGGGCTGCATTTCCATGGCAACTGCCCCGTCCTGCTTCTTAGCTGCACACAGAGGAACCGCACGGCCAAGGTTAGGGCTCTATGAGAAGGAACAGGGCTCTGCGGGGTTCTCTGACTTCCGCGGGGCCCTCTCCTCCCCCTCCCCTCCCCTCAGCAGGCCCAGGCCCTCCTGATATGGGTGGGAGGCTGCAGTGCCGTCCTGGCCAGGGCAGACACGGTTCTCTCGGGGCCTCTCAGGGGAGAGGAGGACAGACACAAGCACGAGTAACTCGGGCACACAGACAGGGCGGCCAGTCCCATAAGGCTCCAAATCTTGATACCTGACAGCAGAGGCCTGGGGCCCAGGGAACGTTCCAGAACCTTGAGCTGACCCACTGGCCCACGGGTGTCCTAGACGCCTCCCTGCTCTCCTCAGGAGGCCTAGGAGCCCCTGCACTCTTCTCCCCTGCTCCCTGCTTGGGCTGTCTGCTCTCCCGGCTGCCTCCCGAGCGGGTGCCTTGACTTCCATCAGGGCCCCAGCTCACCATGTGCGCGCCCCTGGGCAAGCCTGGCACCTCTCTCTCCTCATGGGGCCTTCGCTACTCTCCTCTAGCTGCCTCTTCGCTTTCGGTCTGGAACAGGTGGCCCCCTCACGGCTCCCCCAGTGGGTCCGGCACCCTTCATGCTGCCCCGACGTGGTCGTGGCATACCCCCCACCCCTCTTCTGTCACTTGTCACCTCACACACTCCGGAGACTGTGGAGTCTCCAACTGCACCCTGTGTAATCCTGTCCATCCCCCACGTGGAGGGGGCACCCAACCCCACCACTCATCCTTCTCCGTCACCCGAGCCTTCTCCCCCCGGCTGCCTGAGACCACTCACCGCTGGCTTCTTTTCCCCAGGGGCCTCAAGCCAGAACCCACTGCCTCAGTGGTCCTCAATCCCCCGCCCAGCTGGGCCACTCCAGCCGTGCGCCCCCGCGGTTGCCTGGGACCACAGCCATCGGGCCGGCCCCCTGACCCCACCTTAGCTGTCCTCTGAACTCCAGTTGCCTTGTCTGAGCCTGTCTTGGTCTCTGGGTCCCCGGGTCCCACACTGCACTTGAGTCTTGCCCCTGGGTCTGTGTCTCTGCACTGTGACCTTCCTGACAGCCGGGACCACACTTTATCTACCTTTGCAGCCCCAGCACCTGCGTCTGACCACTGACAACCCTCAGCCCATCACCGAGTAACAGCACCTACCAGGCATTCGGGCTGAGAGGAGAGCAGGCGTCAGGTGGCCACCCAGTCACCCTGCCTCAAAGGTCCAGCTGAACTGGGACACCCATGGGCCTGAGCCTCAGTCTCCTCACCAGGAAGCCCGCTCACCGGTGATCTCTGCGGACTGCTGGCAGGGTCTGCAGATGAGCACCCCCGGCCCCACTCTCCTGCAACTGAGGCAGGCGGCCCCCCACCCTTGCCACACCCTCTGCCACCGCACCCTGAGCACAGGGCGTGCATTACCTTTGGTCTGGCTACTCTCCATCGCCCCATCCTGCTGCTTGCCTACAACGGAAGAGGAATGACACAGCGAGGCCAGAGAGCACGGTGGAAAGCGGGGAGCAGGGGAGGGCTCCAGACCCCCCAGGCATCCTCTGATGCCCTGTGACCACCTTTTGGCAAATGGGCGCCACACTCTGGGCTTCCGGACCGAGGCCCCAGCCCTCCAGCGAACCCTCAAAGCCAGCCCTGGACAAACCGTGGGTCATGCATGGCCAGCAGTGGGAGGTTTCCAAAAAGGCTACCACCATGGGGAGTTAGAGCGGCCAGGTGTCTGGTCCCAGCTCTGCCACCTTGAGCAGGGCCCCCAAGCTGCGATGTGCATTGTCCCCAGAAGCAGCACCAGCCGTTTACCTCGGTGGTCCCTCGCCCCCCTGGCCTAGAGGTCAGCTCTCTGCCGCACAGCCAGCAGTTAGCTCTGTGAGGGCTTTGGAGGGACAGAGCGAGACTCTAGAAACCTGCCAGCTTCCGGTGCCCACCTGGGTGCTGGGCACCTAGCACTGGAGGGAGGACAGGGGCGCGGAATGTGCTGGGCCCCAGGTGGACCTGTGGGGGGTGGTCATTCATGAACGTGCAGCCGGGTGTTGGGGACTGTGGCAGTGAGTGGCTTCCAAGGCGGTGAGTCCAGCACTGTGCTCAGGGTCAGGCTCTGCCCCCAGCTCCTCTGGCCTCATCTTTCCCAGGGCATCATGGGTGGGGCATCAGGTCAAGGAGCTCTTTTCGGAGCCACACCACTGCTGGCCCAGGATCCAGAAATGACTGACCTGGGGCAGGAGGGGGCTTGTGTGCTGACTTGTCAGCTCACGTCACTGGGGGTCCAGGAACGCAGACAGGGTGCCAGCTGGCTCCTAGGCAGTGGGGTCTAGTCTGGGGGTCCCAGGGAGGGGGGAGGGGGTCCCCTCCAGCTGGGGTGGGGTGTAGGTTGGTCCCTCTGTGAGGGTGGGGAGGTTCAGAGGGGAAGGAGATTTCTGGGGGCAGAGGAGACACCCGTAGACGGCACAGTGAGGAGTCACTGCTGAAAACTCTGGGGACAGAGGCTGCAGACAGGGCCCAGGGAGGCCCCCGGAGGAGGGAGGGAGGTGTGGGATGAGCACTACAGGAAGAGGAAGACAGAAGCCGAGGGAGGGGAAGGGGGGAAGGAGGACACCCCAAGTAGAGAGATGACTAGGAGTTAAGGCCAAAGGCAAGAAACAGGTCGGAGGGCAGCAGGTGGACTGGGAGCACTGGGCTGACAGACGGGGTTGAGAGGCAGTGAGGGTGAGGACGAGGGCTGGGGTGAGGCGCTGGGTGTGGCCACTGCAGTGACTGGGCCTTGGGCTGAGACCTTGGTGGGGAATTGTGGGTGCTGCTGCCCCTCCCCAGAGCCTTGCCAGCTCTGCTCCCCTCCGGGGCCCCCCTCAGGGTTCCCCTCCTCCAGGAAGCCCACTGGTGAAGGTGCCCCCTCTGACTCCTAAGTAGCTCAGCCTAGTAGAGGGGGAGCCAGAGCCGGGGAGGGACCGGGGGTGGGGGGGCACTGGCGGGGTTTTGTCCAGGTTGGAGAGGAGGAGCCCAGAACCCAGTCCTGAAGACCACCGACATTTAAGGGACAGAGCTGGAGGGGAGAAGGAGCACCCTGCCAACCAGCCGTCACGGTGGAGGAACACCAGGCAGTCAGCTAGGCTTCCCCGGAGAGAGGGCTGGGGACTCCGGCCCAGCCCCGACGGAGGCCCAGGGCTGACCTACCCACCCGCACGCCTGCCTAGGGACCCTACTGTGCTCACCGTGGACAGCAATTAGGCTGAGCCCTGCAGGGAGAGGAGACTTGGTGTGGCAAAGGTGGACAGGGCCAATGGAAGCTTCTAGGCAATAGCCTGGGGCTGGGGACACTAGCACATCCTTCCTTATGCTGACCTGCCCCCTTGTTGCCTGTTCTCTGGGTCTAGGGGCCCTGACTGAGGTGGGGCTGGTGGCTGCAGGCTTTCAGCACACGCTTTCCCCACACATGTGCGGGTTCTCTGTACTTCTAGTGGACCCGAGTGAGTTCTCTCAGAGGCACACATCTAGAAAATTCTGCTCCCAGCTGATTGGACTGCAGGAGCAGCCTGAGGGGAGACCCAGGTTAGTGCGAGGTGAGTCGTGAGCTGGTGCAGGCCTGAATCAAAGAAGATAATGGGGTCCTGACTCTGGGACCGGGACTCTGGTGTGGGGGTGGCGCCGAGGACTGCTCCGTAGCTTTGTAAGACCTGCCCTGAGGACTGGAGGAGACACTGGCCGTGCCTGGGGCTCAGAGCAGTGGCAAGAGGAGGCAGCAGGATGGCCACGTGCCGGGGAGGCCGGGGTGGCTACAGAGCTGGGCTCTCAGAACACATCTGTCCCTTGACCCTGTTTTCCTTTGGGGTGAGGGCCCCCATCCCATCCCAGCTTCCTCTGGCCCTGGACATCCTCTGGGGAGTCCAGTCCATTCTGCCTGGGAGCCCTCTACCCCTGGCTGTATGACCCACATTTCCCTGGCTGCCACGTTGGTGGGGCCCTCAGTACCTTACCATGGGGAATGAGCGCACCCAAGGGTGGGCACAAGGTCCCCGAAGCACTCTCCCAAGCCAAGGTGGCCTGTCCCTGTCCCTCCAACCCCATTCCTACCCAGGCAGGGCACTTCCCCCACCCTGGCACACACTTCCCAAAGCCTTCGGGGAATGGCTGCCCGAGGGAGGCTGGCCTTACACAGAAATGAGGGGCCCCCGACCTGCTGGCCCCAGAAGAGGGGTCCCCGAAAGGAATCAGAAGAGAGGGTATAGCCTCCCACCCCCGAGGGCTGGCTCTCCCTGGAGCTGGAGCTGGAGTAGGGGATTAGGGCACCAGGGGATGAAAGAAGGAAGAGCGGGCTGCACAGAGACAGGGTCAGCCCCTCGTTGGCGCTGGGAACTGGAGGTCACTGTTTCCTTACCTTTCTTATCTTTCTTCTCCTCTTCCTCTCCACCGGCTCCGAGCAAGGTAAAGATGATGCCTGTCTGGGAGTTCACACCAACGGCAGTCACCACCATTCTTCCAGAACCTTCCATGACATGAGTACCTGGCAACACAGAGGAACCAAGACGGAGATTTGCACCTCTGGTGGGAGGCATGCTGAACACCTACAGGTTCTCTCGCAGGAATCCCAGAAGCAGGGACTCAGTGTCTGGAGGCCCCTGGAGGCTATGTTGACCCTAAGCCTAGGCTGAGGCCTCACAGGGCCCACCTGGGGCCTCCAGCCTCTCTGTCCTGTTGCATGCTGCATTTGCCACTGGGATAAACACTGGGCTGAGCCAAAACCTTCTGGAAAGGGAACACTACCCCACTGGCTCTTCTTGAGTGTCTGGGCTGGGGCGGAGCACAGCACTATGCTGACCCCTCTGGGGGCTTTCGGCAGGACATCAGGGGCCCTTTGGGGCTTGGAGTACCCATTTCCTTTCCCAGTGGCTGAGCTACCACTGTCATGCCTCCCACAGGCCGCTCTGGCCTCTGGCGGGGCAAAATCTTCAGACTCTCTGACCAGAAGGGCTACTCAGGAGGCCCCTGGTTGAGGGGATGGCCAGCCCAAGTGGCCTCCAAGGCTCTTCAGTGCTAAGCTGGTCCAGGGGGCAGTGTCAGCCTGCGTCCTGGCCTCCCCACAGCCTGGCCAGTGCCCAGAGGCCTCACCTGAGAGCAGCATGGGGTCTTTGTCAGCTGATTTGCGCACGTGGTCTGACTCGCCTGTCAGGGAGCTCTCATCGATCTTGAGGTCATTGCCTTGGATGAGCACGCCATCAGCAGGCAGCAGGTCTCCTAAGGCCAGCCAGGCAGCCGGAACCACAGGCTGTGGGTCCAGGTAGCCTTCCTCCCTGCTGCCTCCCCCCTGCCCCAGGAGAGGTCTCGAACCTAGGGTGTGGGGCCTTCTTCTTTCAGTCTCCTCCTTTCTGGGGAGGACTCACCCACCCCAGCCCTGTCATCCTGCCCTCCTGGGGCTCTGTCTCCAGCCTGAGCCCCCCCCTTCAGCCCCTGCAACCCCCCCCCCCCCCCCCGCCCCGCCGTAGGTGAAGCCCCACATGCTCCTGGGGCGAGGCAGGGGCAGGCCTGCACTGCGTGCACTCACCGTACTTGACCTGGGCAATGTCTCCCACCACGAGTGCGGCCACGGGGACCTGCAGCAGCTGGCCATCCCGGATGACCGAGAACCTCTGTTCCTGCTCGATGCGGCTCTGCAGGCCCCGGAACTGCCTCTCCTTGCTCCAGTCATTGAAGGCCGTGACCAGAACCACGCAGGTGACCGACAACAGGATGGCGGCTCCCTCGATCCAGCCTGCCTCGGCCTCCCCTTCGTCTTCTGCCCCAGCTGACACATTCCCGCATGCTGTGCCCGAGGACAGCAGGGAAGGATGGGGTGGCAGGAGAGTCACGCCGTTGCCCCTCGGCTCAGGTCCCGTTCCGTCCCTCCTGTCGGGCCCTCCCCTGCTCACCTTCGCTCTCCTCCCCCGGCGGCGCATAGAATGAAAGGCCCAGGGAGACAATGGCAGCCACCTCCAGGATGATCAGGGTCACGTCCTGCAGGGCCTCCCACACCAGCTGCAGGAAGGTCTTGGGCTGCTTGGGAGGGATAAAGTTCTGCCCGTAGATCTGCCTGCGCTTCTCTAAGTCATTGGCATTGTTGGCCAGGCCTGTGTGGTGCAGGGACGGAGAGCAGGGACACGGACGAGGATGGGAGACCAGCCGCGCGAGGCCCTGCCCCTTCCTGCCCTGCTCGGCCACAGCGCCCGCCCCGCCCTCCAGCCTGAAAGCCCCTGGAAGGCCGACCTGCACTGGCCTGGAACACTCTGCCACCACACAGCGCACAGCCATGTGGGGCCGGGTCCTCCCCCGGATAGGCCCGGGGACGTCCATGGGCTATGATGGGTCCCCTCAAAGGGCAGATGGGGAGGAATGCAGTAACACCCAACATGGGGGGTGGGCAGAGGGGACCCAGCTGGGCCAGGGATGGCCAAGGGTCATCTGGACACAGGGGAAGAGACTGCCAAGGCTCTCCCAGGGGTGCAGGGCTTGGTACGAGACTGGGCTGGAGGGCACAGGGGCTGTGAGCGGGCCGACGTGCTCATACCATCCCTCCAGGGTCCAGAGGAGGAAACTGAGGCCAAGGAGGGAAAGGGCCTCGCACCCATGAGTTGGAGCTCTTGTGGGCAGCCCAGGACTCCTCTGCTTCCCTGTGCACCTGACCCCAGGTCAGGATGACAGCAGCCTCACAGACGCTAAGCCACCAAGAGGGGGGCGTGGTCAAACTGTGTGTGCGGGACACAGAGCCTTCATCATCTGCCAGGACCTGGGGAGAGTCGGCTCTAGCAGCCCAAAGACCTGAGCATGGGCCTGGCACCCACGGCACTTAGGAGGTGCACAGGAACCATCCCCAGCCCTGTGTTCTCATGGCCAGCCCTCCGGAGACAGCCGGCTCCTTCCTAATGCTTTCCCTAGACCCCACAGCGGTGCCAACCTTGAGCTCTGAGCTGGGGGTCACACTGAAGGGCAGGGATGGGACGTGGGCTCCTATGGGGCTGCATACATGGCAGTTGGTGAACCATCTATAAGGTTAATGAGATTGTCAGTGATTCATGCTGATGCAGAGGACAAGAAGGGGAAAGGATGAGGAAGCCAGTCCCCGTGGGGACCCCTCGTGGCCGGAGCAGATGAAGCCCGGTGAAGGAGGGCTGAGGGGTTGACAGGGGCCTGACCAATAGTTTCAGAGCCCTGGGAGGCCCCCTCCACATCCCAGACAAGCTACTGTGTTGGGGCTGGGATGAAGGACTCAGAATCAACACCCACAGAGGGGTGAGCTCTGGCATTTGGAAGCTGGGCCCTTACCTTACTTCTCATTCTTGGGGCAACCCACTTCCTACCCAGGCCTGCACCGAGCCTGCTGGGCCTCCGCCTCTAGAGCGTGAGTCCCCTCAGGCCCATGCCTGAAGCTACCAGAAGCTTCTATGTGGGACTGACATCCAGGCCACCTCCTTCCAAGGCCAGATACCCACTTGGCCCCCTACCCCTGAGCCTGGCAGACGGGACACAGTCCCCTGGGCCCGCCCTCAGCCCTCAGGCCTCAGGATGCTGCTTCCTTCTAGGCCTGTCCCTCACGTGTCCAGCCCCACACTGACACCTAGTGGACAGATGGTGGCTTGCAGTTCCCAGTCGCGGCCAACTCCTTTGGCCTCCTGAGGGGGCAGGGAGCAAGCCGGCAGGGCAGATGGGGGGTCGGGGTCCCCAGCCTATGGGGTGCTCCCAGCTGGCTTGGGAAGGCACACAGGACCTGGCCCCCAGGCGACTTGAGAGCAAGGAAGTGCTAAGTGGAGCGCAGAAGGACTTGGGAGGAAGGACAGTGGGTGTCCACTAGGCAGGGAAATATGGCTTTGGGGGAGGGGCAGGGGGGCCCACCTGAGGTGGAGGGCCTGACAAGAGCCAAAGTCCGCAGCCGGCACAGCCCTGGCCCATCTCCCCAGCTGGGCGATGATCATACGCTGTGCCCCCCACCTAGCCGAGCTGCAGCTGTCCCTGCCCTTCTCCCCGGGGCCTCATGGTGCCTGGGCCCTGCCGGGGCTCAAGTTTCTGGAGGCTGCAACTTTCCAGTGGGGTGCCTGCGAGAAGCTCAGGGCCTCGGGTCCTAGGGGCTGGGGTCCTAGCTGAGGGCTTGTGCCCCACTCCTGACCGAGGCCTGGGTCTTTAAGCTGTAAGACATATGACGTGTGGGGTCAGTACTAGGGAGGCTCTCCTGACACCCAGGGTTTCCATGATCCCTGCCTGAGAAAGGGCAAGGGTCCCCACGGCACCCTAAGTCTGCATCCTGCCTGCCTCACCCCCACATGCCAGCTTATCCCCAACAGAAGCCAGGCCCTTGGGGCCCCTTCCCCAGGAGTGAGCTGGCTCCATTCCTTCCCCCCCTCTCTCCTCCCTCTCTCCCTCCCCCCCACCGTCAGCCTGTTCCTTGGCCTTGAGTTGCCCTTGATGCTCTAGCAATGCTTCTCTCTCCCTTGCCCTACACCAGCCCGAGGCTGTGGCCTTCCCGTCAGGCTCTGGGGTCTCGACAGCTGCTCAGGTACTCATGTGGGGGCCAGAAGGTAGCTGCAGCCCCTCTCGTTTCAAGCATGTGCCTGACCAGCAGGCCCCCAACAGTGGCCCAGGTCCAAAGTGCTGGGGCAGGGGCCGGCTGGTTGGCATGGACACAGATGAGCACCCTACCCAGAGCAGAGGCCAAATGCCATCAGAATTGGATTAGGACCACATCGTGTGGTTCCTGGATAATCCGCGCTCTCCTTTCCATGACTCCTGGTAAAGGCCAGACAGGGGAAGGGCTGGGACCTGGGTCCCTCCAGTGGGTTTACCACTGAGCTTGGCCCAAGACCCAGGTTCCCTGGCTTCTGGAATCCTCTTGGATAGCTACAAAGGCTGGACCCATTGATGTGCTTCTTGCCAGGAACAGGCAAAATCTCCTCCCCCAGTACACCATGCACCTCCCCAGACTCCCCACCCTCCCCAAAGCACCAATCTGCCAGCACACCTTGCCAGGGGATTGATGTGGGGCCTGGGGTGCAGCTTTGAGAGGGGTCCAAAGCTGAGGCCACCGTGTCTGGGCAGGAGTGGGGCCATCTGGGTGAGCACTCCAGGGCCAAGTCAGCAGGTGTGCTGGGGGCCAGGGCTCCTGGGCTTGGAAAGGGGAGGGGTAGTCCTCACAGTGCTCATTCTTCAGGAGGCAGATCAGGCCTGGCTGGCTCTCTCTCTTGCGGCCTGGCCACCCACCTGGGCACTTGCCTTTCTCCATGCCCGCCCCTCCACAGGCACCGGGCAAGCTCCAGAGCCGCTGTGGCCGAATCAGGCAGGTTCCCAGGGGCCTTGACATTTTAAATATTTAACAAGGCCTGACAGGCAGAGGAAAGAACTGCCAGCTGAAGCCCATCTGCTTCCTTTTATCTGGGAGAGGCCAGAGCCCTTGTGGCTAAATGGCCCTCCACCCCAGCCTCCCCCCTAGCCCCAAATCCTGGTGGGGGAGGGTAAGGAGGAGGGAAGGAGAGAGAGCCCTCTGGCCCTGAGCCAAGCCATCTGCCCCGATAACGCAACACAGCAGGCTGGGTCCTTTTAGAGCACAGAGCAAGAGAGACCCAGGTAACCCTGGGAAGGCCACTTAGGCTTGGAGTTCCTGACCTGGCTGGGTGGGCACCCTCTCACTCAGCCCTTGGGCCCACCACGTCCTGGGTGGGCCATCTCCACCCCCTGCTCCAGCCCATGTGCCCCCCACAGATGGATGGGGCCAGGGAGCTGGGGACAAGGGTGATGGCCAGAGCCCTGGGTAGATGAAGGTGTGACAGCTCAGATGCGAGCTGATGAGATCAATCAGCGCTGGCTGAGAACAGGCCTGGCACCAGGCTGGGACGGCCCTCGCGGTCCTGCCGGGGAGGTGCCAGCTGGGCCAGAAAACACTCGAACTCCTGGAATCTGGGGCCAAGCCTGGCTCCTGGTGGTCCCAGCCTCCCAGCAGACCCAGCAGACAGGACTGAGGAAGGCAGGTGCAGGGTAGGGCAGAGTTTTGCCTCCAGAGCGGGGGGGAAGGGCTATAGGGCAGAGGCAGGGACCCAAAACGGCAGTCGGGCCTCTACCTCTGGAGCCTTCTAGAGACGTTCCTCAGCCTCCCTAAGGCTCCCTGCAGCAGCTCTCCTCAGATCTATACTGCCTCGGGCTTGTACTTCTCTGGGACGGCCTGTGGCCAGTGGCACCTCCACTCAGCACTCTGCTCCCCTCGCTTTCCAGAGAGAGGCTCCCTGCAACCCAAGCCCTCCGAGGGCCGGTGTCCTGCACACCTGCCTCCTCTTCCTGGACATAGGGCTGAGCACACACGGAACCTGGGACATACCGACAGGGGCCCTGCCTTCCTCCTCCTCTGTGCTGGGAGGCTGTCCCACCCGGTTGCTCAGAAGAGCTTCTTGGGCTTCAGGTGGCGGCCCAGCCCGCATGTGCATGCCGACACCGCGCTGTCCCCTTCCTTCCCCTTCTCTGTCACTCCATTTCTGTTTAATCCGAAGAGGCGAGAGCAGGGAGCTGCTGATTATGGAGGGGATCGGGCCACAGCTCCTCGAGGACCCAAGGTTACCCAGAGGATGACCTCCTCACCGCACGCAGAGCATCTCCTGCTGGGGGTGGGGGGGCGGGGGGCGGGATGGCTACCATGGTCATGAGCACGGTCAGGGTCAAGAGTGCCTCTAGGAAGCGGCTGCAGTAGCGCCAGCCAGCCCTTGACCAGGCCTTCCCTGGGGGGGACGGAACATCCTCAGGATGCCCCTTGAAGACTGGGGGGGGCTGTCAGATGGCCCATGACCCTACGTCCCTGGAGCACATGTGGCCTTACCCTCTGTGGGCGAGGTCTTCAGCCTCCTGCAGAGCCCACTGACATCCCCGTAGGCCTCCTGGACCTTCTGCAGCGCCTCAGCTCCTCGGAGCTCCATGAGGGCACGCAGCTCAGCCAGTGTGCACCCAAAGCCGCCCGCGTGGGGGGCCTCCCGCTGCTGCTGGGGCTTGGGGTGGAACTCGATGGAACTGTTGGCCATGTCGCCCATCCTGCCTGCCGTGCCGGGAGGACAGGCTGCCCAGCCTCTTCACAGGTGCAGCCTCGGCTCGGGGCAGGCGGCCACCGGAGGTCCCAGTGCCTGGGTGAGGTGTAGTGGAGGGAGCTGCGGCGGGGAAGTGGCTGAGCACGGACACCTGGGGAGAGGTGAGAAGAAGCCAGGGGCAAAGTTGAGACAAAACCGAGGTCCGCTCTTCCAGAACATTCTCTGCAGATCTGCACTCAGTCTGAGCCATGAGCTGCTGATGGCAAAACTCACCTCCGAGCCTGGGCCAGTCAGTGGCCCTCATGCCCTGCCAGGCCCACCTGCCAGGCCATCTCCTAGTCCTGCCCAGCATGAGCACCCAAGGCAGGAGGACTTGCCGAGGTGGGGAAGGGGGAAGCGTTACTGTCTCCTGGAAGGGATCGGCTGCCGCCAGCACCAGCAATCTGTCTCGGAACCCACACCGAAGCAGAGGCGATGTGTCGGGGTTGAACGGTGGCACGGGTGGGTGGGTCCTCTGTGCCACAATTCTCCCCATGTCCGAGCCCCACCTTGAGTGCAAGCTCGTCCACTCCATCGTGCTCCCTGCTCTTGCCTGATTAGGACCGGCCCACCGGTCTTCTGGCTCAGCCTCTGTGGCTCACGGTTTCAGGCTCGGGCTGCAGGGGGGCCCGGGGAGCAGGCCAAGCCATGGACAGGGCCAGCTGGGAGCCAGGTCAAGGCTTAGTGTGCAGGGTGTCTCTGCTGCCCTGAGGGCACCTGGGGGGCTGGGGCAAGGAAGGGAGGTGGCCTGGAGGGAGGGAGTAAGGAGGGAGAAGGAGGGCAGGAGCGGGAAGGGAGAGAGGGAATGGGGGGAAGGAGGGGATAAAGGGAGGAGAAGGGGAGAGGTGGCGGGGGGGGCACATAGGAGAAAGCAGAAAGCAGCCACAGGTCGCTGGCGACTCCCCATCACCCTGCCCCACAGCACGGTGCCATCCGCTCTCCCTCCAGATGATGGATTCAGGAGCTGCCCAGCACATACACACATCCTGAGAGCATGAGTGGAAGCACCCCCAAAGGTCAAACTCCCACGACTGAACTAGTCTCGGTGCACATGGCCTGGGCCTTCATGGCAGCAAGAGGCTTCCTGATGGCATGGCTCAATTGGGCCCAGTCCTTCACCTTTGGGGAGGCTTTGGGCTCAGAAGGATCTTCTTGGAAGCAGGACTTGGCCGCTGATCCAGGTTTCTGGTTAGAACTGTCCATGGGAACACAATAGCCCCGAGCCCTGTGGCCTTTGCTCTCAGGAGAGCGCCCACCTCTTCCTCGGAGCCCAGCAGACTCGGCAGCAGGGCTGTGCCACGGCCCTCAGGGGACAAGACCAGGGCCTCTGGGAGAAAAGGGCCATTCCCCTATGCCCACAGCCCCGAGGGGCCTCAGAACACGTAGGCCTCAGAACACTTAGTTCCTCTGGACGCTGGCCCTGTGTTGTCAAGAAAAAGCACACGTACCTAGGGCAGTTCCCGCCCGTGAAGTCTGAGACACAGAGAGGCACCCCAGAAAATGCCCATCCAAAGCGGTCCACGTTTTATAAGTTTGGGCACCTAAGTGTTAATCCTCTAGACTCTTTCCACATGGAGCAGCCTTCACTACCGGAAGATGTGGGAACAAAATGGTAGACAAGAGAATGCACTGTCCTCCCCACTCCCACGCATCTTCCCACTGCCCGTCCTTCCAGTTTGCCATCTGACAAATCCTTACTGAGCATCTACTATGTGTCCGCACTGGCCGTCCGTGCTGGGGACAGAGAGGTGACGGGACTGAATGGATTCTTGTGCTCTCTGGCTGGGAGACGTGTACCCAGCAGGTGAGAGAGTTGATGGAGAATGTGGTTTCACTGGGGGTGGGGGTCAGGGAAGGCCTCTTGGAAGGGGCACATTTGAGAAAAGTGAGCCATTCTTCTGGAGGGAAGAAGGCAGGTAACGGGACAGGCTGGTGGGAGCGAGGGGCTGCAGATCCCATGGGGCGCCAAGTGACATGGGCCATCACCAAGCAGAAGGCTGCTGGGTGAGGACAGACTGGAGGGGCAGAAGCCAGGACGTGAGGGAGGGGCCGCAATCAGTCGGTGGGCCATCCTGTCCGTGGGGGTGAGGGCAGAGGCGACGCAGGCCAGCCCTGAGCTCAGGGATGTGTGGGGCCGCAGAGTGCCCAGAACTTGAAGGAAGTGAAGCTTTCATTTTCATGGCGTGTAAGGCAGAGTGGGCTCTTTCTGGGGTGCTCTGCGAAAGCACCCTACTCACCTGGGTGGGCGCTGTAGGAATCACTCTCCAGTTCGCTGGCCCAGGAAACAGAGGCCATTTCAGGAGGCACTGGAGGCCGCAATGGCCTTGCCTGTTGCCCCCACCCCATGCCTTTGTTCCCGCCAGGTTCTTTCCCCCACTCCAGACTGTTACTCAGGACAGTGCCCCGGCAGGGCGCACCTTCTCCCCTCCTTTCTCTCACCCTGCTACCATGCCTCTCCCTTCCCAATATGTGGCAACCTGGGGGAAAGTCGCAGCGTTGGGCTCCGTGTCCCCAGCCCTCTAAGCCCATTGGCCGCTGGGCAGGAGGGACAGGGTCTGGTTCATCTGTGTAAGCATTGGTTTCAGCCCCCCAGTAGGCACAGATCCGTCTGTGAGTAGGCCCCAGGCAGACAGGGCTGCTGAGAGAAGACCAACCAATGGGCTGTGTGAGGTGTGAGTGCAGGTGGGGATGGGGGGGCATGGGGGGCATTTAGCAAAACTGTGAGGCAATTGTCCCTGAGCAGAGTCCCCATGCCATGTCAGCCCCAGCCAGTGGGCCCCTCCTCCCAGGCTGAGGGGAATGGCCCGGCACCTACGCCAGGCTCTGATGTCTCTGGCAGGGAGGCCACTGGCCTGCATTCCAGACCTTCCACTTCGGTCCCAGGGCCCCAGGGACCGGCTATGTGCCTGTATGGCCCCCACAGAGCTGCCTAGGGACTCCCCGGGGTTCCTTCTAAAAGGGAAGCCAGATGAATGATTTTGTTCCTTTGGAACCTTTTATCTTTTTGGCCTCTACCACCCACTTGGAGAAGGCTTGTTTGGAAGGTGCCCAACTCCACCCAGGTGGCATTCGAGGGCTCCAGGGGGTGACAGAGTGAATGGTCCAGAGTTGGGCGGGCTCAGGGGCAGATGCTGGGAGACAGCAGTGCATCCTGGTGGAGGTGACACCTTCATACACCTGCTCACACCCGAGGCACAGCCCTCTCCCCCCCCCCCCCCCACAAAACAGGGCCCACTGAAGGTGAGCTCTGTCCCCCGCTCCTGTTCCCTCCTCCTGCCCCCAGTGTGGCCCTGCCCTCGATTAAGCAACAGCAGTGGCCCAGACAGCCACACAAGGTCCTTGAGCTGCTCCTAACTGGGCCTGTGGTGACTCATGGGAAGGGAACTGGGCAGGGAGGCAAGGCCCGACCTTCTGCGGGACACAGAGCACGCCTGCCCTCGCCACTGCCTCTCAGCTGGCCCTGCCGCTCCTCTGCACTTCTGCACCCCGCCCGCAGCTGGGGCCTGCTCCCTCCAGCTCGGCCCCCGCCAAACAGGCCCCACGTCTCCATCTACCACCTCATCGGCTTCCGTCCAGTTGGGCAGCTTGTCACCACCCTGCTCTGGGTCACCACTTCCCCTGGTTCAGGTGCCGCCGCTCTCTCTGCCTCCAAACTGCAGTGGCTTCTGGGAAGCCACACGTCCTGTTTCCGCCGGCACCTCACACTGGTGCGCCCGCGGCACCAGGCGCCTTGCCCCAGCGCACGGCCTTGCCAGCCCCAAGCGCGCCAGTCCTGCCCTGGCCCGCACACCCTTCTGTCCTCTCTCCACCTGATGACCTCTGACAAATTTGAGTGGCAATTCAAGTGGACCTTTCTCCACAAAGTCTCTGCCAGAATTGATCGCTGCTGAGTCTGTAATCTGGCGACTGTCCCTATTCCACTCTGCTCAGCATTGCAGTGACCTGTGAGCATGTCTTCCCCACTCTCGGGGTCGCAAGCTTTTTGAGATACGTGGCTATTGAACTGGCAAGCAGTCCACCACACGGTCAGCCCTGGGTGGGGATGGGGGTCTGGAGGAGTGAGTGAACAGAGGCCTGGCTGGCCAAGGAAGAGCTGGGAGCCATTTTTTTTTTTTTTAATGGGGGATCGCCATCCTGGAGAGCATGAGGAAGGGCACAGGTATGAAGGGCAGGAATGCCTTCACCCCCAGCAGGTCACTCTCAGTGTGCCCTGGGGCTTCACCCAGGTCTGGGCAGCCCCTCTAGTCAAAGACTGCTCATGCTAACCTTCTTCATCTTCATTCACTCTATAGGCAACAGGGCAGACAGGAGCCATCAGTTAAATCAGTCTGTCTTGCGTGACTGTTGGCTGCTGTAGACACCAAATGGCATCTACTATTGTTTTTCTGGGTTCTCTGTAAGCCTCGGCAATTGCCTCCCTCATTCTGAATAAGGACAGCGGCCATCACTGGAATGGCCAAGAACAGAAATGACCAGGCCTATCAGTTCTGCAGGCCTGACAGAGACTTTTTGGCCTGGGCTGGCTGCCTAGAACGGTTTGTAGGCACTAAAAGTGCAGGGAACGTACCATTTTGGTACTCTTTCATCTTTCAGACCTTAATTGGCTTAATTGAATTACAAACCTCCACAGAGAGGGACTCATGCCTTCTGATATTTGCTCCATCCCGGCACCGTGGGGCGGCTAGTGTAGAGATCTGTGACGGGTCACCCAAGTTCAGGCCTGTCACACAACTGCCACCCTGATGCCTCCTGTCCCCAGGCCCAGTGACTCACATTGATCTGACGAGAAAGCCTCGTCCCCTTTGTACCTGCCCTCCCCGGCCACTTCTAATCAGGTTTGGGATCTCCCCGTACCTCTAACCTAATCTGCCCGGATCTCCCACTTTGCCTCCTTGACCTCCTCCACCAAGGCCCTGGGCAGTCCACCCCCCACTAGGAAACCAGGAGCTTCCTGAATGAGGTGGGGGCACCTCTGTTCCCAAGCTCCCTTCTCTGGGGACCTCACTCCAGATGCTTCCCTCACTGTACCTCATAAGCAAGGGGCAAGAACACAGCTGTCCATTTCACAGATGCAGAAACTGAGGCTCAGGGAGGCTTGATGATCCCA